TCTCTCTCTCTCTCTCTCTCTCTCTCTCTCTCTCTCTCTCTCTCTCTCTCTCACGCACACGCACACGCACACACACACACACACACACACACACACACACACACACACACACACACACACACACACCACACACACACACACACACACACACACACGCACACACAACACACACGCACACACGCCACGCACACGCACACGCGCGACGGTAAAGAAAATTAATTCAAATCCCATCTTGGGCAACATGCAAGGAATATCACTAATTTGGCTAATATGACCAAGGATATAGTCATATTGGGACACGAAGAAAAAGTAGAAGATGGAATTGAACGATACTACAAGGACAAGAAAATGATTATGAACATCAAGGTCATAGATTTCAAATTCGCGGAGAAGAAAACCTAGCTCACACGAAGCTAGATTATTCGAAAGGGGAAAGAAACGCCCTCTAAAAGTAACATTCATGAATAAGCAAATGGTGACATACAATAAAGGAAGTCAAAGTCCTTGGTCGCCTATATATAAGAAAATATAGGAAAATCTGGATAAGAGAAAATATGATCAAAGATGACAGAGAAACTGAAGAAAAAATCAGAAGAGGTAAAGAACAAAAATAAACAAAGGACTGAAGAGGAAAAGCAAAGCAAATATACTATCGAAACTGAAATGTTGGGACAGAAACATTAGCCTTGCAGCCGAAAGAAATACCGGAAGATATTATAGGAATTGTTTAAACGAATATAGATGGTTCATATTCGAAGTTGCTAGAACTAGAGACAATAATTGAAACGAATAAACCAGACGTGATAAGCATCCCTGAATCCAGACTAGATCCCTCCTTAAACGATGTAGCATTGGGGCTTAAAGGCTATTTAAAGAGCAGATGGAAATGGAGGGTGGCGGGTATAGTAACATTAACAAGGAAAGGAATCACTACAAAGGAGTTAGACATTTAGTATGGCCCCAAAGTGGAACTGAAGGTAATTGAGGTGGAAACAAACGGGGTAAATATAATAACCACAGTATACATGCCACCTCATATTATCGGTGTGGTCACAAGAAAACTGCCAAAAACTAGAGACATTGAAGAGCCTGGATGAAATGCTACAACTTTTGGAAAGCAATGCCAAAATATCTTGTCACAGGGGATTTTCATTGCAAAACTGACTGGGAAATTTTCGATT